CTTTTAAAAAATAGCTTTTTTGAGTATACTTCACATGCCATTAAATTCACCCTTGCAAGTTCACAAATCAGGGTTTGTTTTTTTTTTAGCATATTCACAGAGTTGTGCAACCCTCACCACAACCAATTTCTGAACATTTTCATCACCCCCAAAAGGAATTCTTTTTTTTTTTTTGTGAATCTACATATGGTTTCTTTTTTTTTTAACATTTCTAAAATTTAAATTCAATTAATTAACATATGATGTATTATTGGTTTTAGAGATACAGGTCTGTGATTCATCAGTCTTATATAATACCCAGTGCTCATTACATCACATGCTCTCCTTAATGTCCATCACCCCATCCCTCTCCCCCTCCCCTCCAGCAACCTTCAGTTTGTTGCCTACAATTATGAATCTCTTATGGTTTGTCTCCCTCTCTGGTTTCATCTTGTTTTATATTTTCCTCTCTTCTCCTATGATCCTCTGTTTTGTTTCTTAAATTTCACATATCAGTGAGATCATATAATTGTCTTTCTCTGATTAACTTATTTCACTTTGCATAATACCCTCTAGTTCTATCCACGTCGTTCCAAATGGCAAGATTTCATTTTTGATGGCTGAGTGATATTTCATTGTACATAAAAGAAATTCTGTACCCATAGCATCATTCCCCATTTCCCCCCACTCCCAAGACCTAAGTACACAAATGTACTTTATAGATTTGTCCGTGTGGGACATTTCATGTAAATGGAATCATAGATGTGTTGTGACTGGCTTCTTTTACCTAATACTTCATTTCCTTGTATTGCTGATTAATATTCCATTATATGAATATATCAGGATTTATTTATCACTTGATAAATTGAGATATATTTATACATTTATTCATCAGTTGATGGACAACTCAGATTGTTTACACTCTTTGGCTTTTATGAATAGTGCTGCTGTGAACATTCATGTACAAGTGGACATAGGTTTTCATTCCCTGGGAGTACAATTGCTGGGTTATATGATAATCTTTTGAGGAACTGCCAGACTATTTACTGTAGAATTTTCAGAGTTCCTTACATAGGGGCACCTGCCTGGCTCAGCCCATAGAGCATGTGACTCTTGATCTTGGGTTTGTGGGTTCGAGCCCTACATTGGGTGTAGAGGTTACTTAAAAATAAAAATCTTTAAAAATTAAAAAATTAAAAAAAAAGAGTTCCTTATATAGTTTAGCTACTAGTCCCTTGTTGGATATGTGATTTGTGAATCTTTTGTACTAGTCTGTAGCTTATTTTTTCATTCTTTTAATGGGGTCTTATGCGGAGCAAAAGTTTTTAATTTTGATGAAGTCCACTTTGCCATTTTTTTTCTTTTATGGATTATGCTTTTGGTGTCATGTCTAGGCATATATCTCAAAGATTTTATCTTTTTTTCTAAAAGTTTATAATTTTATGTTCTACATTTAAGTCCATGATCCATTTTGAGTTAATTTTTATATAAGGTGTGAGCCTTAGGTCAAGGTTCATATTTTTGCCTATGGATGTCCAGTTCTAATAGCCCACCTGTTGAAGAGATTATCTTTCCTCCATTGAATTGTTTTTGCATCTCTGTCGAAAATCAGTTGTGCATATTTGTATGCATCTTTTTCGTGGTTCTCTGTTTTGTTCCATTAACCTGAAACCACATAGTTTTAATAAATTTAACTATATAGTAAGTCTGTAAATGGAGTATATGGGTTTTTTCTACCTTTTCCTTTTCCTCCCCCCAAAGTTCTAGCTATTCTAATTCCTTTGTCTTTCCGTATAATTTTAGAATAATTTTGTCTATAGTTACAAAAAAAATTGTGCAAGGATTTTGATACAAATTGCAGTAAACCTGTATATCAATTTCTGGAGAATTGAAATCTTTACTATTTGTTGAATCTTCCAGTGTATAAAAAGTCTTCCCATTCCATTTATTTAGATCGTCTTTGTTTTTTTTTATCAGTATTTTGTAGGTTTCAGCATATAATTCTTGTATATTTTTGTTTCAGATTTATTTATTTATTTGAGAGAGAGAGCTAGCGAGGGTGCAGGGGGGTCGGGTAGGGGGAAATGGAGAGAGAGAATCTCAAGCAGACTCCCTGCTGAGCACAGAGCCCAAAGCAGGGCTTGATCTCATAACCCAAGATCATGACCTGAGCTGAAATCAAGAGTCAGATGCTTAACTGACAGCCACGTAGGTGCCTCTGTATATGTTTCTTTTAGATTTACATTTAAGTATTTCAGCTTTTTGAACCATTGTTAGTAGTATTTTCTTAAATGTAGTTTCATTGCCAGCATATAAAAATATAATTGATAAAATTTATTTTCTTATATTCTGCAGCCTTGCTAAACTCACCTATTCAGTTTTTTGTTTTGTTTTTGTTTTGGTTTGGTTTTTTGGTCTATTCCTTTGGATTATCTATGTAGACAATCATTTTATCCTTAAGTAGGGGCAGTTTACCTCATCCATTCCAAACTGTATCCATTTTCTTTTCTTACTTTATTACAGTGGCTAGAAGTTCCAGTGCTCTGTTAAATAAGAGAGGTGAGTGTGGGCAGCTTTGCTCATTTCTGATCATAGGAGGAAAGCATTCGGTCTCTCACCATTAAGTACGATGTTACAGATTTTTAGCAGATGCTCTTTATTAAGTGAGGAAGTTCCCCTCTATTTCTCTTTTTCTGAAAGTTTTTTTTTGATCATAGGTTGATGTTGAATATTGATGGATATGATCAAATGCTCTTTTTCTTCTTTAGCCTGTTAATGTTTTGGTTAGGTTGATTGATCTTTGAACATAGAACAGACTTGCATCCCTGGAATAAATCTCAGTTGATCACGGTGTGTAATTCCTCGTCTGTGTCGTTGAATTCTGTTTCCTTACCTTTCAGTTAGGACTTTTGAGACTAAGCGATATCGATCTGTAGTTTTCTTTTTTCTGTTTTTCTTTCCTTTACATTTTCTTTTCTTTTTTTTCTGTCAAGAGATAAAGGATCTTATAACTTTGTTTTGGAAAGCATTAATCAAAGAACCAGTTTCAGCATAGCTGCTTCTTGGTCTTTGAACCTTGATTACTTTGAGAAATGCATGTTTGCTCTTAAGCTCTGTCCCAAAGTATTGACTACCCACAGTTGACTAGTCACCGGGCACAGCACAAGAATTTTGTTGCGGGGGGCTTGACAGCGTTGATACTCAGGATTGTGAGAGTCCATGAGTTTTCATGGTTATGCTGTGATGTCCTGTCATACCTCCTACCCTGCCCTGAGCAACCCGTTCCCTGGAAGAACTTCATGGTGAAAAGGATATTGGAGTTTGAAATCAGAAGACCTATGTGTCAGTACTGGTTCTTAGTAGCTGTGTTATGTTGAACAGTTACTTAACCTCTCTGATTCAATGAGATGAATTTAAATGGATTTATAAACTTGTTACTACATAAATACTAGCTTTATTTTTACTGAATCCTTTAATTTTATAGGAAAGGAAAATACTAATAAAAGTTGGTACTATCTAAACTGTTCCTTAATATCTTTTCCCCATTTCTCTGATCATTTTCAAAATTATCAAGTACTAAGAAACAAGACCAAGAGATTTCAGAGATTTATATTTTGATTTGATGTGACATAATCTTTGATTTTGTGTTTAAGCAATAAATCCTTAGAAATATGGCATTTACCTAATTTCCTCCCCCTTGTGATTATTTTACTGAAAGCCATTTTTGATTCAGTAATTAACTTCATAGTATTTTTGTAGTAATCTCCCTCCCTTTTTTAAAGTTTTATCTTGAAAACCTAACAACAATATGATACTGCAGAGGGATGGCATCATTTGGCATTCATCAGAGACCATTGAATTTAGCACTGCTCATTTTTTTGTTGGAGCAATTCTGAACAAAGTAGTGGTACTTACATGGTGTGTCCTCCTTCCCAATTTGAAGTCATTAGGCCTTGGAACTGTCTACTGGTAAATCCAGTTCTGGGTCATTCAGGTGGTTCAAGACTAAGATTTTCCTCTCTTAATTACTTTGGTAAACCTGAGGCAGCAAGATTGAATTTCACATAGAAATGTTTAAGTTAATACACCCTCGGGAAAAAAAGAAGTCCTGAATGTTTATAGCTTTTGATTTTTAAAATATTTCTATGGATACTATGAATGCAGTTATTGAAGTACTTATTTAAAGATTGATTAGAAGGTTCAGTTTCTAAAGTAACTTCCATTGGTGAAATTTCTGTATTTTGTGATTTAGTAATACCTGTTGATAACCATATGAAAAATATTGAGACACCGTACTATCCATTACCAAATTAGAAATAATGTAGTAGACAACAAAATATATCTTCAAGGGTGGGAAAATAGTGTATAAGGAACAGACATGTGTTTCAGTTGGCAAGTTCCCAGATGATTTATAGAATGGAAGCTTCTGGCCCCTGATGTAGTGCAGCCATCTGCTTCAGTTAGGTTCTTTCAGTGTGATAATTATCAGATCTCATATCTAATTCCTCCATAGACAAGAGATAGTATCCACTGTGGGGCAGTGCATTTCAGGTCTCTTACAGAGACCCAGAGCATTGTCACCATCCTTCCTTCCAGCCCCCAAATTATAAGCTAATCAGTATTAAAAAGAAGTAACTTTTAAAATGGTCCTGCACTTTTTAGTTCTTTTTTCCCTCTGTGCATCATAATTATGTCTAGATCACCTAAAGTAACTGAAGCAAAAATGTTGACAGGAATCAAGTAAGAATGTAATTTACTGAAGCATCCTTCTTCTGTTTTTCCCAGATCTTAGGTTAAGTTAGTAAAGTTTGTACCCATGTGCATATATACATATAAAGAAATAGAGCACACATGAATATTTTGTTCATTAATTTCTGTCTCAACCTAATTGTTGGGGAACATACTGTATTTTTTTCATATATTGCATTTGTATCCAGTAAGTAAATTGAAAAGTTTAAGAGTTTTGGTCCACCTTTCTCTTAGTTTTTTAAAACTAAACCTTGTGATTCCATCTGTTCCAGCGGGAGTCTCAGCAGACGCCGTGCAGACCGTCAGCACTGCTCCTGATGCCTTGGGGCCAGAAGCCAAAGTCCAGGAGGAAGAGCACGACCTTGCAGATGATGACATCACAGCTGGTAAGCAGGGACATCCGTAACATAATCTGGCTGAACTTTGTCCAAAATTGGAAAATGCTTTTAGATCATTTATAAAGGGGATTAAATATGTTGGTGGAAAAGGTGGAAACTTGTATTGATGGAGTGTTTAGTTTTATGAGACTCTTTAGTGTCCTTTTTGATCTTGAAGTAGAAAGAAGCAGAACCGTTTATTTGGTCTAGGTTTGCTTATTGTTGCTATAACAATGAACCTGCTGGCTGTGCATTTGATTTCCTGGAGACCTTCTAATTCAGAGGCTAGGATCATTATGAAAGCCTTGAAACGTGTAGAGGAATACACCTATTATGTTATAAAAGGTTTTGCAATTATAGGGTAAACTGCAAAATACTGAAGTCCTAGTGGCAATATATGCAATATAGGCTGTGTAAAGAAACTTACAGATATTCTCTGTACCTATAGTATACGAGCAGGTGCTGCTTTTTAAAGTTATTTACATTGTGTAGATATTGACCATTCTTACCTGTATTATTTATTACATAAATAAAGGCATAAAGTAAAATTTAAGAAAGCCATATACCACATATGTTCCATATTGTATATGTTTTGTGTTCCTATATGTTCTGCCTATCTTTTTGTAGATTTAAATCAGTTTCAGTTACTGGATCTCCAAATGCATTCAGCTCAGTTTCTTTTAATGTACAGAGGATTAAGAACAACCCACTATAAATATTTTTATTGGTATTAAGAATGATAAACTTTTTTGTATGGATGGTTATTAAAAAAATCTGACCATATAAATCTATAATTATTGTGAAGCAACAAATAGTAACTTAATAGTAATCAATAGTTTGAAAAGAAGCATGCCCAGAAAACATCAGGACAATTTTCAACAAAAATTTAAAGGAAGAAAAAAAAATTAAAGATTTTTTTCTTCTAAAGCTCTGTGTGGCAGGTTCTTTACTGTTTTTCACTGGAAGGAAGTTGAGGAAGCCTAATGATCTCCCTTGAAAATTTACAAGGCATGTAATCAAAAACCTAGAGCCTTGTGCTACTGCTGCAAATAACTTGCTGAGTAAAGTGGAGAGTATCTGGTTTCCAGTAAAAATGGTGCTGCCTAGTACTTGCTACTTTTTAATCCCTTTAAGGTGTCAGTTCATTGATTTAAAAAAATTTCAACTTAAGTATAAATATAAATGATTCCAGAAATTTCCAACTTTTCTGAAAGTCATTTCACAATTATGAAATTGTGTCAGTAGCTACTAAAGGAAATTCTTTCACTTGTGGATCTTTTTTAACTCATTCTTTATTCCATTTTCAATGCTTTTTAAATGTTATAGTGTGTTTTAATTCCCTATTAATTTTAAACGTCCTCTAGTCTATAAAATGTAGTGGTTTAATTCATAGAGGAAAAGAAATTGCCTTTGTAACAGTAGAATAACTCAATTTGCATTCTGGAATAAAAGCTAAATTTTTGAGCACTCAAGTAAGCATTATTAAATCTGTACATTGAAATTTTGAGTTATGCACTCTACCACAAAGTCATGAGACTGCAAATAGCACATGACTGTGCTTTTATTTTATTGTTAAAAAAAAATCAAGAAGCTTAAAAATGAAAATCTAGTTTGGAGAGTCAGTGCTGTGTAAACTATATTTTAATCTGTACAAGGTTAAGTTAAACGTATGTGATGAATGGCTTTGATCAGTTGATTTATTCATTTCATGGCATGGGTACTAGAGGCAAGAATGTTCAAAGAATTTAAATAACTAAAAAAGACTTCCTTAACGTGTTGTCAAAGCAACTAGCATGCTGCAGTCTGTAGATCGTTTAGGTTACCTTTGAATTGTGTGACTTGATTAAGGTGTGGTATAGATTTTTGTGAGGGTTTAGAAGAAACCCATATTTCTTTTTATTGACTAGAATTCTATATAAATTACATTATGAAAAATTTGGTAGATGCATTGAGAAAAACCTGTTTCAGGCACAATAATCTTATTTTGGGATAACCACCACTGTAGAGCACTAGTACTACAGAAGGGAAAGCTGGCCAGTTCAGCCATTCACTTTGAAAAATCTGGGGTTTTGTTGGTTACTTAAAAAGAATTGCTCCATTAATATCTTCTGAAAAAATAAATAGAAATTATATTATGGCAGGCATATTTGCCTGTATTTTGAATGAACTCTTATTTGGAAGTTCTAGTTAGGCTAATATGCATAGTTATATTAATTTTGTATTTGTAGCAATTTGGGACTTAATTCTTCAATTATCTTAAACAGTTAACCAAGATACCAATTAAATTTGAAGTATAATTTAGTGCTTTAGACAGAATAATTATTTTTGAAATTTTTCTTTTTGGGTGAGAAAGCATGAGGTGTGAATGTTGTCTTATGACACTGATCTGAGCCTAGCAGGCTTTGTTAGTGTTTGCCTTATAAAAGGACAGAAGCATGGATAAAGCTATGTAAGTGTTAGCTATGATCAATTGGAACTAATTAAATTTATTGGAAATGAAGAGTCTTAACTGGAAGAGAACAGCTGGAAAAACTGGGAAGAAAAAATTGAGTCTTGATTGAGACAATTTAAACCTTCACCCTGTCATTTAAAAAAAATATGCGGCAGCTTCTTTCTGTATCTTTCTTTTTAAAGCTAATATCTATTGATTGGCTCTACAAAGTAATGCCAGTGTGCCTTGGTCGACACACATACTCCGTTTTACTCAGCATTCTGTCTTAAGGTTCATCAGATTTTTTCCTTTAACCAAATGTTTTCAATTACACATCAAAGCTATATGAGCCATTTTCACAGATTAATATTATTTTTATGTAGAAAAATATTAAAACCTATTTCATGTATTTTTTATACTACAGTACAGTGTGCATAGGAAATGTACTTTTTCATTCTTTTTCATTGGAATTGCTTCAGGTTTTGTAATACTCTGTGTATTAAAATCTGTTTTAACAACAATAATGGTATTTTCTTTACAGTAAAAAGAATGGCATTGATTGTTTCTAGAATATAATTTCAGCATTACACGAATATTACTGTATACATGTGTTTGCTTTTGTACAATCTACTTTTGTTTTTAGTATTATAACTTAAATGTTTATTTAGATATATAGTCATTATTTGTAAGTGATATGTTCTTGTTTTCCTTACAATATTAAATAGGTCATAATTATAGAGTAAATCTCACTAAAAACTGAGTTTTTAGCCGAGGAAGAATTTTAGATGACTTATAATCTTTTTTGACTTAATTATCTTTATATAGTTTTTATCATGATTTTAAAGGATGGCATTCTGAGTGACGAGGAAGCTACATGTCCCCTAAATGTTGCATTTTAAAACAGTCTACCCCTAATTGCAGTTAAAAAGAATTTTGGAAAGATTCCATTCACAAACCTGCATGGATCCCTTTAAGAAAGTCACTAAATTCTTCTGAGGGTCATACTGCAGTATCCTGCCTCTTGTTCAATGCAGCATGGACACACTGTCCATATAACAGTGATAAAGGGTCGAAAGTCACTGACATTGTCAAAAAGAGACTGGTTGATAGTAGATCAGCAGAACAGTTGACAGATTCAGCTGCTTACAACAAAAGCAGCAATGATATGTGGATTCACATGGGTGTGTTAACTGTATTTGTTATATTTCTTGTAAAATTTACGTGTAATTTGTAAAAAAAAGAAAGAAATCCTGTGGAAAAAAATAAAAATAGAGAAGGGGAAGAGAGATTGAAAGTAACATTCATTGACAATTTACTATGTACCAAGCACTTTTTACACTTGACTCTAACAACATTTTGAAGTAGATACTGATATTTTTCCAGATATATAGATGAGGAAACAAACTCAGAGAGGTCACTTTTACAGGGTTACATACTTAAGAAGTGGTAGATCTGGGACTTAAAATGAGTCCTGCCTGGCACCAAAGCTTATGTGTGGTCTTAAATACAACCCCACACTGCCTAATGTTCTTAAACTCATTGAACTTCAGCATCTTTTTTCTTTTCAAATGTGAGATGATGTCACAGTCTACCTTTATTGCTTTTGATATCATACTGGTAATTGCTGGATATCTTATTGTTTAAAATATAAACTTGTTATTCTAAATTTAGACCAAGAGATTATCTCCTTTAGAAAAAATCACATATTCTTTAAATGTTCTTTTTAAATTTGTCCTTTAAATTATTTAGGACTACTGTGATGTAAGATTGTAAACATAAGTAGTGTTTATTACTAAACATTGCATCCATGTAAGATGAAATATTTATTGTTCTGTCTAGCTTTTTGAAGTCATCAATATAAAACAGACATGTTAACGTGTATTCATTCACTAAAGTCAGCATCTCTAGTATATTAAGATGGAGCTAAAAAAGACATCTAGTCTGAGACTGAATATTGGTTTGTGCATTTTACTATTTACTAAGGGCCCTATTCATAAAATATCTATACATTTGTTTGACTGAAAGATAGGAAATTCATCCTGTTAAAATACAGGTAAGTTCCAAAGAATTTGGGGGCATTACATATTCAGAAATCAGAAGTACTTCCAACATAGAGCCACAGGCCTTATAATTATTAAACTAGAATAAATTTCTACACTGCACTCCTTTCCTTTCCTTCTCATTCTTGAACTTAAAATTTACGGTCTAAAAAAACAGTACTACAGGGCGCCTGGGTGGCTCAGTTGGTTAAGCGACTGCCTTCGGCTCAGGTCATGATCCTGGAGTCCCGGGATCGAGTCCCACATCAGGCTCCCTGCTCAGCAGGGAGTCTGCTTCTCCCTCTGACCCTCTTCCCTCTCGTGCTTTCTATCTCTCATTCTCTGTCTCTCTCAAATGAATAAATAAAATCTTAAAAAAATAAAAAATAAAAAAACTACTACATCTATGTGAATTTTTTTTAAAAGATTTTATTTGTTTATTTGAGAGAGAGAAAGATCAGGAGAGCACAAAGGGAGTGGGAGAGGCAGAAGCAGACTCCCCGCTGAGCAGGGAGCCCGATGTGGGGCTCGATCCCAGG